TAAACGGATCCATTCGATGAGCATTCTAAACGGTAGTGTTTTCTCCAACGAAAGCAAGGTTGGCTTGTTGGGAGGAAGTTGTAGCTTTCAGCAAGAATTTTATAGCACATGCGAATTTGCACACTGGACCCAGGAATTTTCAAAACAAAGTATAAAAATTGGGGAAAAGTTAAACTGTGAACCAACAATAGAAAACAATAAGCAACATATTTCGCTGTATTAATGAGCAAAGAGGACTTTCTGAGATATCGATTTTCCATAGTAATCGGCCCCAAAACTTTCTAAACTCAAAAAGGCGACACTAATATATCCGGTACCAAATATTTATGAGCTTTTAGTTACTAGCAGATCCGATCTGCAACGATTATGCTTCTAGTTGATTTTTTTTTCAATTTTAGTGGTACTGTTAACGCCTCTCAAGGCGCGTTCTGACGACAGATTCCCTCTTCGAAAACGTATACAGTTAGTAACATGTTTAGTGAACTTTCTAGGGCATATTTATCTGTTACTTGATACCAACTAGCACATATATCTATTAAAGAAACAAGTCCCTACCACCTTTGTGAGAATGGAGTAAGCTGGTGTAAAACGTAGACGTGCTTTGCTGGCGGAGGCAGCGATTCATTCTAAATCAAAAACATCGTCATCATGTCATAAGAACTAAAATTTCACTTTACTGAACTTTGCCATTTTTGGGAATGACCTATTAGTGCCCCGAATAATTTTTCCTACCATGTCTTCAGTGGTGAAGGGAAGTGGGGGGGGGAGGGAAGAGTGGCAGGGTGGGCAGAGTTTTCTTCATTATTTTATGCCGGATGAGCTTTCCTAAGTTTTTCTGTTCTACTTCTAGAAAACCATTCGTTGATATGTAATACAGTTGGCATAACATCTTATCAACACCACCGGAACGCAACCACAAATTTTTCTTTCCTTTCACTTCCTCATAAAGCTTGCAGCGGGTGGAAGCGCGCATGGAACTGAGCTCCTAGCCATACTGTTAGTTTTCAAAGTCTCACTGAATGCTCCTCAAAGTATGGAGTGGCAGTACTTGATCTATCAGTCGTGGGAGAAGGCAAGGAAAAGTGCCAAGATTTTTGAGAACTCACGCGCTCCTTCAACGGATAGGGTTTGCGCTCCTCTTCTCTGTGGACTCTCATTGGTCAGCGTTGCTCTGGCAAATACAATAAAGTGAACTAATAAGATGGGACTAACCAGTAAGACTCCCGTGGGCGCAGAGCGCAAACCACGCCCACATGATTAGGGCGTTGTGCAATTTTGGGTTCTGGAGCGCTCTTTCTACCTTCCTTCTTCACATGAGGATCAATTGTCGCATACTTCCATTTCTGGTACAGTGATACATAACTAGTCAGTCGCTTAGTAGGCATTTCAGAACTTGTCGCTCCCATTACACCTTGCACATCGTTTTTCACCATAAGGGTGAATACGAGCTACGTATTTCACTTCAAGTTATCATCACTAAGGATAATAAATGAAGGATGAATCAAGGTGATAATTTCTTTTTTGGATACGCCACGCACTCTACATTCATCCAAATTTAATGCGCTTTGAATGCAGTTTGGACTATATATTTAGTCCTCTTTTGAGGGCCAGGCGATGAACTTCTTATGCTGTAATTCAACTCTGATACCAACCAACGAATCCTGGATAGATAGAAAGCTTATCTGAACTGGATGGGAACCAATCCGGGCATTTCGAGTGATCCGATAGTGTTATAGAATGCCCTCACTGCATATAAGGACACTTCATATTGTCAATTAGAAACAGCATACATATAAGAGATTTATTGAATGAATAGGAAAGGTCACCCTTTGTCTACGTTCGTTCTTACAGATGAAACTACTATTTTATTATCCAGGGGGCACAGTGACGTGAATTGTGTGCTGACTGTTTTATTGCCTTGACTGTACTGACTTACGTTTGGGTATTAGGTGTTGTATTATGAAGCCTTTGGCGCGTGTCTGCTTTTGGTGCTTCATTTGCCACCTGTTGTAGGGTGTTTGACTGAAGACGCTTGGTGCTTGGGTTGTTGTTCCTTAAGTTATTTGCGTACTACTGAAGCCTAATTGGAGTTAGGAGTCTCGGAGGGTGCTGGAAGCGAAGACTGCTTGGAAACCGGTGGGAGCGTCATTTACATCCTCAGAAGTGGGTGGTACTTATACCAGTACAAGTGAGCTGTCTAGTTTCAATGGATGGTTAGAATGGATTGTCCGCATGGTACGCAGTAATAGTAACTTTCTTCGGTTCCGACGAAGTGGCACGGCGCTTCAAGAGGCCCGAAATTTATCATGTCCGGTCGTCATGGCAGCGGGGTTGACCCTCCGATCATGCACATAGTTAGTGATATCTGCCACGACAGTAATTCCGCCATTACATCACTGCAGTGATAAAGGCTGTGGAACGAGCGTGATATCGTGTGGGGTTGCGGTACATCATATGCTAGCGATTCTTACAACTCTCCCACCAAAAGGCATTACCCTTTACCCATTCCTATGAAAGCGTTGCGTGAGGATATAATGTGATAGCAGCTAGTAGCAAAAATAATAGCAAAAAGTGTGAAAAAGGCAACACTGAGCCGACTCGGCGAACTGCAAAACGCAAAGCACGTCTATGTAATGATTTCCTTCCGACTTCCTCAGTGTCTATTGGAGTGTCCTGGGCGTAGACGATTAAAGGACGATTCACAATAAGAGCGGAGTCTAAAAAGGGGACATGGCCTAGTTGGGGGACAGACGGGCCCTCTGAGGGTGCTGACCGACGCGCAATCGACAGCGAAAGATTTGACCTCGGCGCTCGAGCATGGCTCAATTTTGGCGCGACTGGCCGGTGCACGCCCACCGACTATCTCGTCACTCGCAGCAGGTCTATACGCGGAGTGATTAGATAGAAGAGAGAGCGTAGTGTTGAAGAGAGCACAGCGATGAGAGTCGCAACAATGCGCACATCAACGGGCAAGGAAGGAGTCCCATTCCTCGGGTTCTGGGCCATTTCCCTCAGTTTTTTCTTCTTTCGTGGCTTTCCAGCGACCAGTTCTCTAACTATCAGTCTTAAAATGGTTTGCTTCCTTCACGCTCGTTAACGAGGACAGCTTTGCGCCCCGAAATTCTTGGCCCGGACTCTTTCCTATACCAGATGAAGATGTCAGTTGGGTTGATCACTGGCAAATTAGCACATCAAAGCTTTCACGCATGTAGATCTTCGCGTTTCTGAGAAGAAGAGAATGAGTACAAAACTGAGACCTATCGAAGGACCTCGAGGACCGGCAAGCCAGGCGCGCGCAAGGCATGCGAAGCTGAAGGACGGCGTTTTGGCGCGCCTGCACCAGGCGACGCAATTTGAGAGAAGCGGATTAAAGCCGCGCGATTCGGGAGAGCTGGAGACACCAAGGGTCGATCGATGGAATAGGCACGGAAATACAAGTGGAAGCATGGTTGGGAATGCGACGCACAACACGAAGCAGAAGGCCAGAAAACGAGCCTTCCTAGATGAATGCACTCAAGACAACAAAGTTTGAGCCATTCCCGGTCGCCAGCATTTTACGTGAAAGGACGTCCGGTGGCGCAATGGGCTCGAAACGCGGTAGCAGCTTTTCGAGTATTTCGATTTCTATAATCAATTAAAGCAATACTTCGCTGTCCGGCCTTCACTGGCGATTACTCGTGGCCGCGGGTGCATAATGAGTCTTACATGCGAGTGGATTATGGCCTGAATAGAATCGATTGATTTTCGCGCAAGATTCCTTTTAATTCGATCTCAAACTGTTACGAACATATCTGTATGCGCAACATCGCAGGCACGACAGTCGGTGTTGATTAAATTGATTAGATGTGGGATACCAAAAACTAGAAGATCTCCATACTAAATCGCTTGGAACGAAGCCTTTCTTCGAGGGCTCTGCGTGTGGGCAACGGATTGGATGTGAAAGTGAAGAGCCATGCAAAGGGCAGCTAGACT